TCCTCGACCTGGCAGCCTGGACTTCATTATTCCTATCACTGTCAGAATTTTAGTCACAACTTTAAACTGGCCTCTAAGAAGTTCCACATTTTCCCTCATCTTTCTGTCTTCTGAGTCCTTCAAACTCTTCCAACCTCTACCCATTGCCTTGTTCCAAAGTCGGTTCCACATTTGCAGATATTTTTATAACAAAACCCCATTCCTGGTACCAATTTTCTGCATTAGATCATTCTTGCATTGCTATAGAGAAATACCTGAAACTGGATAATTTATAAAGAAAAGAAGTTTAATCTGCTCACAGTTCTCTAGGCTTTATAGGAAACATGGTGCTTGGCTTCTGGGGAGGCCTCGGGAAGCTTAGAATCATGAAAGACGGTGAAGAGGAAACAGGCAAATGACACGGTGAAAGAAGGAGCAAGACAGCGAGAGTAGGGGGCAGGTGCCACACACTTTTAAGTGACCATGTGAACTGAGAGCGAGAGGCCCAAGCCATTCATGAGGGATCCACCCCCAAGATCTAAACACCTTCCACCAGGCCCACCTGCAACACTGGGTATTACAACACAACATGAGATTTGGGCAAGCACAAATATCCAAACTATATTATGTATTTACTCTCACAAGTACAGAGTTTCCGTAAGCACCACCACTGCCTATTCCTTAACACAATGTGTTAAGTTACAAATAAACAATATGGTTTGCCATTTAACAAGAAGTAGAAAGTTCAATAGCACATCCTTATCTCCAATGCTGCCAGACACGTAACTAAGGTAATTATTAGCTTCCTTTTCATAAGAAAATCCAATACTTTTATAAAGTTTTTCACTGCCTCTCGAAAAGCAGAAGCCTTTACAAAGGAGATTTGCTTTATGTTAATTACGTAAAATCAAGGGTTATTAAGAACATGAGACCGAGTGAATGAAAGAAGCTGTGGAATGTATTACTTCATCTTACTCTAATACTCAACTTGCAGAGAAATTATTTCAGGACAGAGTATGGAGCCACGTAAATAAAATATTCTCACCTTAAAAATTCAGCTACTCAGGAGGCTGAGGCAAGAGAATCACTTGAACCCAGGAGGAAGAGGTTTCAGTGAGCTGACATTGCGCCACGCACTCCAGCCTGGGTGACAGAATGAGACTCCATCTGAAAAAAAAAAGAATTCCTCCTCCCTTTTTGTGTTATGGATAGATATATCAACTTTATAGATGACATTTCTATTGGAAAGGACAGTGAATGCAATGAACAACAAATCCAAGGGGTCTTGATAAGCTACAACAATGGGCCAACAGTAACAGATAAAATGTGACAGCTGTGAGATCTTCCTCTTTTATGTAAAAAATGAATTGCAAAGGTACAGAATACAGGGAAAGTTTAATGATAACATGAAATGACACAGTACTTTTCTGAAAGCAAGATTAACATGACGTAGCTGTCAAAAAAAATTGACGCTTTGATCATGGATTGCGTCATTAGAGTAACAGTATCATCGGCACTCAGAAGGGCATGCTTTCCTAGGAGGCATATTGGAATATCCGGGAGGTGTGTACATGAAATTGAGGAAAGGATAGTCAATGCTATTATGTAATTTTAAAATTAAAAATACAGAAAAAAGAGACAACATGAAGCTTTACAAAATCTTCCACACCAGGCATCCAGGAAATAAACACTGTTTTTCTTCAGTGGGTAAGGGAATGGTCAGGTTTGGGAGGATGCCATTTTCATGTATAGCAAAGGGAAGTAGTTATAATCAGTTTTGAGTAATTCAACTGGAAGGAGAAACAATAACATTATTATTGTAATAAATAACATTATTATACAACAATAATGTTAATTACCCACAGACTGTGTTAGCTCCAGGCTTCAGCAATATGTCTGTACTGAATAAAAGCAAGCAGCAGGCCAGGCCCCGTGGCTCACGCCTGTAATCCCAGCACTTTGGGAGGCTGAGGCAGGCAGATCACAAGGTCACAAGTTCAAGACCAGCCTGCTTAACATAGTGAAATCCCACCTCTACTAAAAATACAAAAAAAATGCAGCCGGGCTTAGTGTTGGGTGCCTGTAATCTCAGTTCCTCAGAGGCTAAGGCAGGAGAATCGCTTGAACCTGGGAGGTGCAAGTTGCAGTGAGCTGAGATTATGCCACTGCACTCAAGCCTGGGTGTCAGTGCAAGACTCTGTCTCAAAAAAAAAACAAAAACAAAAAAAGCCACAAAAAACCAGCTTCAGCTGTTTGGTGCTGCTCTCTTCTTTGGCCACAAGTGTCAGACAGCCCCCTGGCTGCTCTTACACTGCATACGTGTGTCTGAGTACTCCTTTCATCCGTTGCTGGGCCAGGGTCTGCAGACGGCCCAGCATTGGGACTCTCGATTTCAGGTGTTATATGAATGTGGAGCTGGCAGGTGCAGTGTGTGGAGCTAAAACCAAAGTAATGGAGTTGCCTTAGTTGGCACTCACAATCCACCATTTCCCTTCACCAGCAAAGGTAGCCTGGCAATGACCTGCAGGTAGAACACTGGATTCTTGCCGCTAAGGAAATCCAACAATTAGCCCAGGGACCTAGGAGGAAAACAAGATACAAACAAGAGAGGAAAGAAAACACTGCAGCTATCTAGAAAAATCAGTTCAGATCTTCACACTTGAACTCAAAAGAACAACCAAGAATCAATCACCAGAGAGAGGAAGAATCTTTCTTTTTTAGGGGAAAGACTAGATAAACACACATAAGAATGGACCCTTGAAGAAACATAATTTAGTGAACAGAAGAGAAGTTTAAAAACTATTATCCTCAGTGACACTTAAGAAGGGAGTATATTCATGAAACAAATTCAGGGTGTTATTACAGAGAAACAAGAGTTAGGCTGTAGTCCCATAGGGCTGGTGTCCTCATAAGAGGAAGATACACCAAGCGGGTGACTGCACAGAGAAAATGCCCCGGGAGGACACCAAGAGAAGACAGTCATCCACAAGCCAAGGGGAGAGGCCACAGGATAAATCAAATCTGCTAGCACCTTGATCTTGAACTTCCAGAATTGTGAGAAATTTCTGTTGCTTCAGTCATCCAGTTTGTGGTATATTGTTATGCCAGCCCTAGCCAACCAACACAGGTACTACTGTCTTCAGCCTACATAGTCAAGATTCACTATTAGAAACTGATGGAACAAGGCTGGGCGTGGTGGCTCATGCCTGTAATCCCAGCACTTTAGGACGCCGAGGGCAGATCACCTGAGGTCAGGAGTTTGAGATCAGCCTGGCCAACATGGTGAAACCCCATCTGTACTAAAATACCAAAAATTAGCCGGGCTTGGTGGCACGTGCCTGGGGTTCCAGCTACTTGGGAGGCTGAGACAGAGGAATCGCTTCAACCAGGGTGGCAGAGGCTGCAGTAAACTGAGATTGCACCACTGCACTCCAGCCTGGCAACAGAGCAAGACTCTGTCACAACAACAACAAAAAAGAAATTGATGGAATAAGAAAAATTCTGATTTTTTTTTTTAAAAAAAGCACTTTTGCTTTAAAAGATATAATGATTCCAGAAATAAATGTATTAGGAGATTACCAACTAATACATATAGATGAAATCAATGGATGCTAAAACTAGTGGGTGAAAATTAGATGAGGAATGGGACATAACCAAGCAGCACCTACCCCCAAGCATCATTTTTAATCATAAAGAAAAAAATAGTAACTTCATAGTGAAGAAACCTGGCAGATACCACCTTACCCAAGTGAACATCACCAATACTGGGGAAACCAATGTCATCTGTACCTTGATATGCACAGGAAAAGACACATCGCTTTAGTGGTGTTTCTTCAAAAAATCATATCCTGAAAGGGAACATCAAACAAACTCACTTTAAAGGATATTCCACACAATACCTGGTCTGTACTCTTCAATAATGTCTAGTTCAATAAATATGAAAGCCAAGGAACGGCTCTAGATCAAAGAAGACTAATGGAGAAATAACCTTTTCATCTGGAATGTTTTTTAAGCAAAAAACAAACAAACAAAACAAAATTTCAGTGCAGATCTTTTTTTATACAACTGGTTCAGAGTTATGATTCTATTATTTTACCACATCTTAAGGCTTTGATCCGTACTACAATCTACAATATATAAATGCATGTGTGGTATCCTTCCATCATCAATGTAGGTGACAAAGGAAAAAGTGCCTGCTGCCAATCTATTCCACAGCATGTAACTGTCTTTCAGAACAGGTTTTTGGGTGAGAGAAGCACAGGATATTGCTGGATGTCTGAGACAGGAAATAGGGAGGTAGAGGGCAGCAGTTTTGCTAGAATTCAAAATTTGATTGCTTTTGGAAGAGACAGCGGGAGATTCCTGGAAACCAGAACATAATGTTTCACAGATGTGAAAGTCACAAATGGGAAAGACACATGGCTTTAGTGGTGTTGTCAAATGACTTTTAAAATGGTAGGGTCTTACTTGTAGCTTCTAGCCCTGAGGGTAGTTCTCCTTGCTCAAGAGCAAAAGGGTCAGCGGTAAAAGCCAGCCTTAGAAACCAACAAGATGTTAAAAAAGATTTCCAGCAGGGCACTGGGAAAACGCAGACCGTGCTGGAATCCCTACGTGGTGGAGCTCTTAATAGGGCGGGAGACTGCGTGACCCACAGGATCCCTCAGAGACACAATGTGGAGAAGGGACTCAGGGTAGCAACTTCTGGCCAGTGGAGCTGCAATTACAGAAGCGGAACATTTGTAGACAATTTACTTCCAGCTTTCGCAACACCCACCATCAGTCACCACCCTCCCTTACGCAGTCGAGCCAAAAACTTACCCGCTTCCGCCCACAGCCCTGTGGGCCGCGACCCACCAACTGAGCATGCGCCAAACCCAGCCCGCACGTACCAACTTCGACCCAATCAGAGTCCCAAGCCGCGGCGTGGTCGCCACGGAATTTAACTAACCTCGACGTGGGGCGGGGTCTCAAAGCCGAATGACAAACGTGATTGGCCATCCTCCTCCACATACTTTTAAGGGTGGAGCCTGGCCCGGGAGACACGTCTAGCTAGCTGTTCTCCTAATTTGGGTAGGGTCGGGCGTGGAGCTGGCAGCGGCGCGGTGTGCGCCTGCGCGGGGCGGCGAGCCAGGGCGTGTTCGCTGTTCGGTGCCGGTGTTGCCAGGACCCAGGGCATCTCCCGCCGCTGGAGTGCGTCCTGCCGAAGCCTGTGGTTGCACACCCACCCTCATAGGGGCTGCTCTCCGCGGTGAGTGTGTGGGGCGTTGCACTTGGGGTTGCTTCTCTGCGTGGCCGGAGCGGGGCTGGATCCTTCCCACTCCCCTGCCCCGCCCCATCCTCCTCCCGCGCCCGGACCAGCCCCGGGGACGCCCTCGGACGCCCACCCTCTCCAACCCTGGGGAAGCCCCAAAGTGGCAGCGAAGGCCTCTTTCCTTTCCGCCCCTGGCCTTGCTGCCATCGCCCACGTGCTTTGTTGTTGTCGTTTGCTGCAGACCATGTCCAAGTCTCTGAAGAAGTTGGTGGAGGAGAGCCGGGAGAAGAACCAGCCCGAAGTGGACATGAGTGACCGGGGCATCTCCAACATGCTGGATGTCAACGGCCTGTGTGAGTTCCCGGGCAGGACCCTCCCGTGGATGAGCTGCAAGGGTTTCTAAGTTTGCCAAGTCACTGTTGGTCCTGCTGTGAGCGATAATAATGGTTTAGACCCCAGCCCCTGCTTGTAAGCATCACTTGTCAGGGGCTTTGCGCATAGGGTTTGCAGGTGTATTTGTTTCTTTCCACCTGGAAAGCGATCCTGAGAGTCCACAATGAGAATTACACAGACAGCTGTGTCTCATTGGTTGTCTCTGCTTTATGGCATTGGAGTGGGTTTTCCACAGTTAGTTTAATAGCCACTTTATTTTTTAGTTGAGAATTAATTTTGAGTCTTTCCGTCTCCTAATACAGTCTGTCCATGAACAGTTGACACACAAGAGTTCCGTGATTAATAAGCATTCTTGTGCTTGGAGCATTCTTGAATCTTTACTTTCTTTTAGAGTGCTTATTCTCCTAACTTGGCTCAGGCTTTTGTTACCTCCTCATGCTGTGGTGAAATCCTCCTAACTTTCCCTGTTACCTTCAGTTTCACTGCGCGGTTTAATCACTGGATCACTTTCAGTGTTACTTTCCTGTAAACTGCCCCCCCACCGGTCTATGGTATTATCCTCTCCCTTAAAACCAGGGATTGCAAATTCACATGTCTTCAAGTGAGGACAGTCATGAACTCCGTGATATGTATGCCACCTGAAGGGGCCAGCTGCTGCACCTGCTTCTCAGACACGTGTCACCATAGGAATGTTGGACCAGTGTGCTAGATTATTTTCTTAAAGGAGCCAAGATTCTATACTTTTATATTTTTATTTTTTGGTTTTTGAGACAGAGTCTCATTTTATCACCCAGGGTGGAGCGCAGTGGTGCGATCTCGGCTCACTGCAACCTGTGCCTCCCAGGTTCAAGCAATTCTCCTGCCTCAGCCTCTGGAGTAGCTGGGATTACAGGCACACGCCACCATACCTGGCTACTTTTTTTGTATTTTTAGTAGAGATGGGGTTTTGCCATTTTGGCCAGGCTGGTCTCAAACTCCTGACTGCTGTAACTCCTTGTGATCCACCCCCCTTGGCCTCCCAAATTGCTGGGATTATAGGCGTGAGCCACTGCACCTGGCCTGATTCTATATTTTTATATGAAATTTGCTAATTTTTAGATGTTGGCTATTCCAGCATTTGAAAAATGTGTGATGAGTGAAATAAAGCACTTCTTCAGGCTGACATGGCTTTGGTTTAAACTCTGTCCACATTTCTCCAGGTTTGTTGGGGTGGTGTACAAGGCCTTTCTGAATCTGAACACAACCTTATCCTTCCATGCAGTTGGCATTCCAGCCATTTGGAACCTATTGCCCTTCCTGGACCAGAGCGTACTTTTTCGGCTCTTGGTGCCTTTACGAATTCTGTTTTCTCTCTTTCTCACTCTTTTGCACCTGAAATCCTTTTACTTCTAAGAGTCTGGTAGACATCACCACCTGTGTAAAACCTTCTCTGTTTGCACCAGGCTAACATAGCCACCCCCTCTTCTGTGAAGGTGGATGTGTGCCTTCTGTTACATAGGATTGTAATGATTTTTTTTCTTTTGAGACATTCTAGCTTTGTCACCAGGCTGGAGTGCAGTGGTGTGATCCCGGCCCACTGCAACCTCGACCTCCTGGGTTCAAGCGATTCTCCTGCCTCAGCCTCCTGAGTAGCTGGGACTACAGGTGTGCGCCACCACACCAGCTAGTTTTTGTATTTTTAGTAGAGACAGGGTTTCACCATGATGGCTAGGATGGTCTCTATCTTTTGACCTTGTGATCTGCCTGCCTTGGCCTCCCAAAGTGAGTCACTGGACCCTGCCATGATTTTTTTTTTTTAATCCAGAAGTCTCTCTTCTCCATTGGGACATTGGGAAGACAAAAGCTGTACAATATTCATGTTTTTACAATAGTGTCTGGAGCACAGTAGATGCTCAGAAATAGTTGAGGAATGAAGAAAATGAAAGAATGATGGGTTAGGCCCATGAATGTGTGAGATCAGGTCCAGGCCGTGACAAGTGAGAAGAAGGGAGGTGTTCAGGAGACCCAGTTAGGCATGGAGAGAACGGCAGAGTCAGGTTTACTGTGAATCCATGGTTTTGACGGGGACAGAGATCGGAGTTCATGCTATTGCTACGTCTTGGCAGAAGGAAAAGGGAGGAAACGTAGTTGATTTGCGTTTTGTAGCCTTAATGAAAATTCGTGCCATTCAACTTCGTTTGTGTACTATTTAGCCTCTCAGCCTTGGCGTGTGTTGGTCTCTTGCGTTCCGTAAGGGTCCTTGCTGTCAGCAACGGAGCAGATGTCTCTGGAACTGAGGATCTGGGTGTGCCCCTTGCTGCCCCTGCCTGGCGCTGCCATGATCATGGTCATTACTGAGGGCACTGTTGATAGGAGGAGAAAGAAGGGGATGCCTGGCACAGTGCGAGTCTTGGCCCCACGGCTCTGCTCCCGCCAGCACCCGCTCTCCCGGTGAGAAGAGAGAGGCTGCTTTCAGCAGAGGAGCTTTATACCCTTCGGCTTTTGAAGAGACTTTATGTAATATTTATAAAAGGGGAGAATGGCTTAGCTATTTCGGTTCAGCTCTGTTATCTCTTTGAAGCCTTGGCTTTTATTAAGGAAGAAAAGATAGACACTTGCTTCCTGAAAAAACATGTTTCTGGTATAACATTAGGTGGTGAAAAGCGAGATCATTCTAAAATTTTCCTAAAGAAGTAGCTAACGAAGAATAACAGTATTTTTTTTGGGAAGTTGGGCGGAAGTGAATTTGATTTCCAGATTCCACCTTCTCTGGCTTCTGTAGCATTGACCCAAGGCAGCTCTCTGCAAACTCCCTGACTGCGGGACTCCTTGGAGGCTAGAGAGTTCCAGAATCCTCTTCGGAGCCTCCACCAGGACTCAGTTCTCAGGAGTGCATACACAGTGTCACCGTGCTTAATATAGGCAAGTATTAAAATATTTCACATGGCTATGTTTGTATAAGAATTTTTGTTTTCTGCAAACAGGGTCTTGCTGTGACACCCAGGCTGGAGTGCAGTGGTGCAATCACGGCTCACTGCAGCCTCTACCTCCCAGGCTCAAGTGATCCTCCCACCTCAGCCTCCCGAGTAGCTGGGACTATAGGTACACACCACCATGCCTGGCTAATGGTTCCCCTCGCCCTGTAGAGATGGGGTATTGCTACACTGCCCAGGCTGGCCTCAAACTCCTGGGCTCAGGGCATCCTCCCATCTTGGCCACCTAAAGTGCTGGCATTACAGATGTGAGCCACCACACCCAACCCCCATGTTCCTTTACTGACAAAATTTTAGCTGTAACCAGGAAGTTTCATATATTAGTATCCAGAATAATCCCGAGGAACACTTAACTTGCACGTACAGAGAATGGTTTTCTTACATCTCAGGCTTTCCCTTCGTTATTCTTTCGTTAATTTCTCAAAAGGTGAGAATTAAGCTTTGAAGATAACAGAAGGCTTTGTACTACTAAGCGTATGAGATGCCTGTCTTTCTTATCGGGTTAGTTGTGTCTTATAACGCAGCACTTCCTTAGAGCAAATTACCTTTGAAACATGTTTTGAGTCGTTTGGGTACCAAGAGCTTTCTGTTGAGGAAATTTCTTTGGCTGGAGACAGATAACAGGCCGGCTCTATAGTTTTCTAGCAGCCCAGCAGATTCTAGAAATGCTCAGTTCTGACCATGAGAGGCAGAGGGGTACAGAGCATATGAGGGGAACTTGGATTTGGATAGATGTGGGTTCAAATTCTGCTACTTAGTACTGTGTAACATTAGAGAAGCTACTTAACCTCTCTGAGCCTCAAGTTCCTTATCACATGGTACCCTAAGTAACCATTTCATAGGATTGGTTTAAAGGTTCACCTTAAATGAAATAATACATTTTAAATGTTAGTTAGTAACTGGTTAGTGTTAGATGCAATAATACACGTTAAATGTTAACTATTAATGTGAGTATCCACATATAGGCCCCTATGCTTCAGACATACCCAGTTCTGACATAGTCAGTGGCTTGAACCAAGAATTTTGCTTGGATAATTAGACTGGATAGGGCATTTGTATCAGGTGTTGGAATTTTTTCTGTGACTTATTAGAACCCGTAGTGTTTGGTGCTTTTGCCTAGTGTTCTAATTGATTTAGTTAGCTGTTTATTTAAAATTTATCCTAATTTATTTTCCATCATTGTGTTTTAACATGGCATGCAGTTTGCACATGCATTCTCCTTAAAGCTTCCAAGAAGACAAGTGTGGGCAATAGAGCAAGACTCCAGCTCTACAAAAGATCAAAAAATCAGCTGAGGGGGTATGCAAGCCTGTGGTCCCAGCTGTCAGGAAGCTGTGATGGAGGATTGCTTAAGGCCAGGAGTTTGAGTCTGCTGTGAGCTGTGATCGTGTCACTGGGTGACAGGCGACCGACAGAATAAGACCTTGTCTCTTTAAAAAAAAAAAAAAAAAAAAAAAAAGCTGCCAAGCAGCAATTGTCTTCAGCTGGTTGATAAAGTTGATTTTTTTTTTTTTTTTTTTTGAAGGGCCCTGTAATCAGCTTCCATTTCCATAGAGACAGAGTCCCAGCTGAAGCCACTGGAACTTCCTTCCTTTTCATTTCTCTCCTTTTTTTTTTTTTTTTTTTTTTGAGACAGTCTCACTCTGCTGCCCAGGCTGGAGTGCAGTGGTGAAATCTCGGCTCACTGCAACCTCCAGGTTCAAGCAATTCTCCTGCTTCAGCCTCCTGAGTAGCTGGGATTACAGGCATGCGCCACCACACCTAGCTAATTTTTGTATTTTTAGTAGAGATGGGATTTCACCATGTTGGCCAGGACAGCCTCGATCCACCCACCTTGGCCTCCCAAAGTGTTGGGATTATAAGCGTCGGCCACTGTGCCTGGCCCCATTTCTCTTATTTGTTTCCTGATTTTTTAATCTCTTCGGGTTTATTGCCCTCTCTGGGTGGTCAAGCCTTTATCTTTTTTTTTTTTTTCCAGGTTAGACTAA